CGATTATCACAATAAGTATTCCATTCACCGTAAGATTTGAGCCCTGTTAGCTAGCTTGGATGGTATACAGACGTACACACGCACACAAACTCAAAAATATATATATGAGAATTTTTTTCTTACACCTTTCAAAATTTATTCCATAATTTATTCCATAAGGTGATGATCTAAGTATCTTTTTTTTTGTTGTAAGCCACAATTTTTTGCATTTCAATATTTTTCTTGCTTTTTCACCAATGCAAATTCAAAACTCAAAAAAAAAAAACTATTTTTTCTAAGCAACAACAACAAGAAACAAAATATATATAATAACAATAAAGAAAATTTAATCAAATCAAAAAAAGAAAAAAAAATATATTGACCTACAATTCCCCCTTCAAAAAAAAACAATACCAGTAACAGAAAAAAAACAATCAAGAATCAAAAAAAAAAAATAATAATAATAATGATAAAAATAGAATAAATTAAACCCCCCCAAAAAAACCTCTACCACATTCTCATGGCACTCGCCCGACCGCCCATGTCTTCCTTGGAATGGAATTGCCATAACTCTCCACTACTGTAGAGAGGTGACGGTGAGGACGAGCTTGCCCGCTATTTCTTGGAGGCGAAGAATAAGGATGAACTTGTCTGCCGTGAAGTGTTACCTAAGCTCCAGCACCGGCTCAGAGCGACTATGGGCAGGGTGAAGGTGAGGGTAAACTGACTGGCTTGCCTGGCCCCACACTCTGTCATTTGCCTTTGCTTGCTTTTTTGGTTTTGGTTTTGGTTTTCTGTAGGTGGGCTTGCTTGAGTCTTTTTATTTTTTTGGCTTGGCTTGGCTTGCTTTTTTTTTTTTAATTATATATATTTTTTTTTGGGGGGGTTAGGTTGGTGTGGCTTGGTTTAGGTTGGTGTGGCTTGCTCTAGGTTTGGTTTAGGTTGATGTGGCTTGCTTTAGGTTGCTTTGGCTTGCTTTAGATAACTTTAGCTTGATCATTCTGATTGATTTTTTTTTTGTATTACTTATGTCCTGCGTCCGTTAGTCTGTTTGCTTGCTTGTTTTTGTCCGGTTCTTGTCTTTGCTTGAGCAAATATATGTTTCTCATATTCCTTCTGATTCCATTTTTTTTAATTCTCCTCCACTTCCCTTTTATTCCACTCGGTCCTTTTCTCCTCTGATTCTGTCACCTCTTATTCCTTTTCCTTCTCCCTTTCTTTTCCCTCCTCTTCTTCTGACTCTCCTCTCCTTTCTTCTGATTTTCTTCCTCCTCTTCCTTCTTCTTCTTCTTCTTCCAATACTCCTCCTCCACCTCCTATTCCCTCTCTTCTTTCTTTCTTCTCTTCCTCCTCCTTATTCCCCTTCCTTCTCCTTTTCCAATTTCCTCTTCTTTCTTCTTTTCGATTTCACCTCCTTAAATCTACCCCGCATGGTTCTCTTTCCCTTTTTTTTCTCTCTTCTTTTCTCTCTTTTGCATCACTTTTATCGTCTTATCGAGACTGACTGGTTCCCTCTCGTAGACGTGACTGGTTCTCATGGTAGCGGTGACTGGTTCTTCTTGATCTTCGACTGGCTAATCCTCTTCCCTTTCTCTCCTCTTATCCAGTTATTATGCCTACTCTTCCTCTTGTCCTCTTTCGTTTTTTCTTCTTTCTTTCTTTTCTTTTTATTTATTTATTTTTTTCTTTATATTTCAACTCCCTTTTACATTAAGAGCCCTTTGCCTCTCCTGTCCTTCGCCAAGGCTGCAAAAAGACTTAAAAAGACTTGTTGGCCATCATGGGTCAAGCTGACATCCCCCCTCCCCCCTCCCAAACAGATGTCAAAATCATGTCAAAAATGTCCAAGAAAATTCAAATACTCGCGCGCTTTTTTTCGATGCGCATCTCGACCTTCTTTTGTCTTGGCAAGCACAGGCGCGACTTTTTTATATTCACCTTGCCTATTTCCTTCACCATTTTATACATTTTCATAATATCCAAGCTCGAACAGGATGTTGAGGTTATATCCTTATCCTTGTCATTAATGGTATTGTTAATATAATTATTTTCTTATTTTTTACAGCTATCCTTATTCTCATTATTACTATCACTACTATTATCATTATAGTTATTATTATTCTGATTATTATCATCATGATTATTGTTATTGTCATTTTATTTCTATACCTTCTCTAAGGCATCCCTAAGCCCCCCCCCATCCCCTCCCCCCTACACCTCCCTCCTCCTCCAGTCCCTCTCCCCCTCCAACCTCCAACTCCCCCTATCACCCCCACCCCCACCCCCTCTCACGTAAGAAAACAAACCAAAAAATATATATTTATCACCGTGTTTGTGCGTAGATTGGTTACCGAAAATCCTCCTCCTCTGATGTCCGTGGGCCTGACTCCCCGCCCATTACCAAATAAGGAAATGTCGTGTATATAATAACAGGTGGATTGAACAGGAATGATGGTTATTCATTATTATGGATTTATGCATGTTATTACTGGATGTTGTTGGATATCAGTAGTTTCTTTTTGTATTTCAGGTAGGTAACCATGTGTATATGTATGTGTATATATATATATATATATATATATATATATATATATATATATATATATATATATATATATATATATATATATATATATATATACGCATATATATACATCTATATACATATATATATACTGTATATATTTATGCATATATTTACATATGCATGTATGTATATATATATATATATATATATATATATATATATATATATATATATATATATATATATATATATATATATATATATATATATATACATATATACTGTATATATTTATGTATATATTCATATATGTACAGATGTATGTATATATGTATGCATATATTTGTGTATATATAGTGTCTTGTAATTGTATAACTCTTAATCTTCACAATACCTTTTCACAGTTAAACGCATTAATTACTCTAGTCGATATTACCTCTTTCCTACTTCCTCCCTCTGTCTCTTTCTTTCCTTCTCTTTCCCTCTCTCTCTCTCTCTCTCTCTCTCTCTCTCTCTCTCTCTCTCTCTCTCTCTCTCTCTCTCTCTCTCTCTCTCTCTCTCTCTCTCTCTCTCTCTCTGTGTGTGTGTGTGTGTGTGTGTATGCGTGTCTCTCGCATCTTATTTTTTTCTTCCTTTCATTCATCCTATTTTCCCTCCGCTCTTCTCATCTCATTTCTCCTCATTTCTCCTCACTTTTCCCCCCTCGTTCTCCCCCTTCTAATTTCTCCTCATTTCCCCCCCCTTCCTCCTCCGCCAGGCCCTGGAGACGGCGCTGAGGGAGGCGAAGGAGGGAGCCATGAGGGACAGAAAGCGCTACCAGTATGAGGTGGACCGCATTAAGGAGGCGGTGAGACAGAAGAACCTAGCAAGGAGGGGCCAAGGAGCGCATATCGGTGAGTCAAAGGAGTGAGTCGTGAGTCAGAGGAGGTGTGATGGTGAGTCACGAGTCAGGGGATATGTGGTGAGTCATGAGTTAAAGGACATATGATGGTGAGTCATGTGTCAGAGGATATATGGTGAGTCGTGAGTCAGAGGACATATGGTGAGTCATGAGTTAAAGGATATATGGTGAGTCGGATATGTAGTCATGAGTCAAAGGATATATGGTGAGTCGGATATGTAGTTATGAGTCGAAGGGGTTTATGTTGTTAAGTAAAAGGGTGAGTCGTGAGTCAGATGATATATGTTGGTGAGTCGGATATGTAGTTATGAGTCGAAGGAGTTATGTTGGTGAGTAAAGGGATGTGTAGTGAGTCGGATATGATAAGAAATATGTTGAGTGCTGAGTTAAACATGTAGATGAGCAAAGGGGTGAGTAATGAGTGAAAGGAGATATGCTGGTGACTTGGATATGAAGTTATGAGTCGAAGGACATATAGGTGAGTAAAGGGGCGAGTCATGAGTCAGAGGATAAATGTTGGTGAGTCGGTTACGAGTCATGAGTCGAAGGAATTATGTTGATGAGTAAAGGAACAAGTCACGGCCAAAGGACACATATTTGGTGAGTTAAATATAAGTAAAGAATCGGAGAATGTATGTTAGGAACAAGGCGTTAAAATCATAGTAATTAATCATAGTAGTAATAAATTTTATATATTACTGACATAACTTTTTTTCTTTTTTTTTCTCTCTTTTTTCTTTAGTTATATTTCTTGAATATCGCCAAGGAGATGTGAATGATAATTGATTTATCTATGTACTTTTATATGTCACTTAGCTTTGGCATTCACTTCAATGCAATGACATATTTGTTGTTGTTATTTTTCAATGAGTATTGTGGGTATCCTTGTATTGTTTGTAGTTCAAACTTCGGAAATGTATATATATATATATATATATATGTATATATATATATATATATAGAGAGAGAGAGAGAGAGAGAGAGAGAGAGAGAGAGAGAGAGAGAGAGAGAGAGAGAGAGAGATGTATGTATGTATGTATGTATGTATGTATGTATGTGTGTGTGTGTGTGTGTGAGTGTGTGTGTGTGTGAGTGTGTGAGTGTGTGAATGTGTGTGTGTGTGTGTTTGTGTGTGTTTGTGTGTGTCTGTGTGTGTGTGTATGTGTGTGTGAGCGTGTGTGTGTGTGTGTGTGTGTGTGTGTGTGTGTGTGTGTGTGTGTGTGTGTGTGTGTGTGTGTGTGTGTGTGTGTGTGTGTGTGTGTGTGTGCGTGTGTAGTATAGTATAATATAATATAACATAATATTATATACACGCAGACACACACACTATACGATTCCACCACATTTAAAACTCCTATAACCATATAGCTTTATATTTCCAAGTTCTTTAACAAATTCGACCTGTGTTCTTACGCCCTGGTTTCTCTCCCGCACAGCCAAGCCCATCAGAACAGGCCAGGCCAACCTCCTCTCTCGTCCGGGCGCCCTTGGTATGATGGGCAGGACACCCCCGCCCAACCCACAGCAACTTCGCTCCTATGTCGGTACGTATGGGTAGGGTGTGGGTTTGGGTATGGGTATGGGTGTGGGTTTGGGTTGGGTGTGGGTATGGGTTGGGTGTGGGTATGGGTGTGGGTGCGGGTTTGGGTTGGGTGTGGGTTTGGGTATGGGTGTGGGTATGGGTGTGGGTGCGGGTTTGGGTTGGGTGTGGGTAGGGTATGGGTAGGGTTGGGGTTAGGTATGGGTAGGATGTGGGTATGGGTGTGGGTTGGTTATGGGTATGGGTATGGATAAGGGTATGAGTAGGGTGTGAGTGTGGGTATGGGTAGGATGTGGGTATGGGTGTGGGTTGGTTATGGGTATGGGTATGGGTAAGGGTATGAGTAGGGTGTGAGTGTGGGTATGGGAATGGATGTGGGTGTGGGCTGGGTGTGAGTGTGGGTTGAGTGTAAGCGTGGATGTGAGTTTGAGTGTGGCATGGGTGTGGGTTGGGTGTAAGAGCGGGTATGGGTTAGGTGTGTGTGAATGTGTGTGTGTGTGTGTGTGTGTGTGTGTCATTGTTTCATTGCTTAACATTCTCATAAACATAGGTCTGTATAATAGATTTTCCAGCATTATTTCGATCATTTACTTGTATCAGAATATCTTTCCATTTAAATGACCATTCTTGCTTTGACTTTTCAATCTTTGGATTTTGCTTTGTTTATATACCAATGTTGGCGTTTTCCGTCAGCCCATGTTCACTAATGTTTGAAATTTCTAACACATGTCTTTGTTTAGGTTCTGTTTGCTATATATGTATCCCTTTTTCCACCCAAGTGTATATTCATTTTTCCCTAATATTGTATTGTAATTTCATACCAAAATTCGCTTATCTCCTCAATTATTCACTTATTTCCCTCCTTCCGTGAAAAGGTTACACATATTTCCCCACATCCTACACCAAAACTGCAATTAATTTTACCCATATCTAACGCCAAAATTTGCCCACATTTCCCCTAATCTTCCCCCATGAATTTCCTCAAATCTAACGCCAAAATTTGCCCACATTTCCCTTACTCTCCCCCCCCCACACACACACACATGAATTTCCTCACTGCAATCTTCAACCGTAATGCTCCTTATAAACATTATTTTTTTTTTTAGATTTCCAAGTTTACCCAAATATTTCTTTCTAACGCGAATCTTCCTTCCATTTCCCCCTCCAGCCACCAGCAGTTAAGACAAGCAACAAGGCTAAAGGATGGGAGAGATAACGAGCGATAAAAAAGTGATGTGAACTTAACTAAGAATTACAAGACGGGCCATTGTGGTTTCATCCTTAACCCCACTGCTTTAGATACCTGAAGTGTGTGCGTGGGTTCTGAAAACAGGTCAGGTCATGTGCATTATGACTGACACACACAACCAAAAAAATACCAAAACACGAATAAAATGTCTATAAAAAAAAAAAAAAATGTTTAAAAATGAGAAAGTAAAAAATCTAAAAAAAAAAAAAAAAAAAAAAAAAAGAAATCAAGATTATGATTTTCATTTTCAGTTGATGATTTCAAAATTTCTTTCTTCCCCCTCCCTTCCCTTCCCCCCCCCCCTCTCTCATCGATACTCACACCTCCCACCCCCCTCCCCCTGTCCTATTATCCAAACTCTTTACCTACGTGCCTATTAATTTCCCCCATTCTTACCTCTCTTAACCAAGCTAGTTACCCACACCCCCACCCCCACCCCCACCCCCTTTAAAAAAATATATATCTATGATTTTGACCCATTCTTTTATGTACGGTAATAATAGCACCCTGAACTGTGATTTATCTAGTACCTTTTGTAGCACTACATAGGCTGTTTTTTTTTTCTCCAAAGACACATTGGTAACACTATATGTCCTCTTTTTTCAATTTTATTTTTTTAATCTCATATTTTTCTTTCCTCCTCATGTATAGACTCTCGTATAAGGATAATTTCCTGTCGGTGATACTGTATTCCTTATTGTTTATACATATATATGAATATATTTAAGACTATTTACCAAACCAGTGATTTTATGTCTACTCATGGAATTAATATAGTCATTTACTATAGCTAGCTTTAATGGTTATGATTTGCTACTAAACATATGCACGACTGTACTTTAATTAGCTGATAAGTGGTCCTTGGTAAATATTTGTTAATGTTCGGATGATAGAAAAGGTAACTTATATTGAAAATGATGATGATGATGATGATGATGATGATGAATAAATGGTAGCGTGAATCCTAATAATTCAGAGGAAAATGATGATGATGATGATAAAAAAAATAATGATGAAATATTAATAATGATAATGAAAACTTGGAAATACATAGAAATATAAAAGAATATCCATTGCATGATCCATGAATATCTGCAATATATATTTTTTTTTCACTCTCTCTCTTCAAAGTTTTTTTTTTATTGTAGGATCAATAGACGAGGAAATCAAAGGAATGAATATAAGCAGATGTCCAGATATGAATGTAATAAAATAAATCACACGAAGACAAGTTATTGTTGTCATCCTTTTATTCACACATACGTCGGAATTTCTTTGTTGTTGTTGTTATTGTCGTTGTCAAAGGTAAAGAGAAAAAAGGAAAAAAAATATGTAGGTATTTCTGTCTTCATTTCGTTCATCCGGAAAATGAATAACAAAAAAAAAAAAAAATTAGCACCGATGTATGACATTATGTATATTTTTTTCTCTAGCAAATTAGAAACAATTGTATACATTTCTCATTAACTGAAAAAAATACATTTATCATTTCATTCATGTCATAATTAACTTACAGAGGAAACGTTATGCTGCGTTTTAACATGACGTAGATAACGATGCTTTTGTTTTTAGCCTTTTATTATTATTGTTGATTAAACCATAAAATCTAACTGTATTTGGCCTTCATTCAGAAATGAGTGATATATCAAAATAATCAAAATATCTTTGATCTTTTGTAGCAGAAGTTTTTGTTTTGATCTAAATTTTAATCTTCCGTAAAATATTTAAGAGAGATCGGAGAGCCGCGTAAAGGAAGTGAAAAGATTAAAGTAATAGTGATTTGATCCCGAATCACTAATCGAGAATTGAAATTAAACATTAAGATTGGATGAATAGATAATGAACTGATGCTACTTGAGACTAAGATATATATGAAGAAGGTAGGGAGAGGAGAATTTAATTTTTTTTCCCCCCTAGCGTTTATTCACCTTTCTTTTATATAGAGATTATCTTTAAGTCATATTTATTTTCTTATATTTATATCAGTGTAGAATCAAATTAGTTTTTTTTATATAATGTGTATAGTTCGTATAAGTTTTTTTTATTATTATTATTATGTATCAGTCTATTTTTAAATAGAAGTTGCGTTCCATTCGGTTTTGCAAGATTGCAAACAAAATGTGTATATCTTTTTTTCTTCTTCTTCTTCCTTTTCCTTTCTCTTTTATTTTCTTTTTATTTTATTTTCCTTTCCAATGTTTCTTTTTTTTGTTAAGAATAGCAATTGTTACGCTTATTTGTTTATTTATTCGCTTTAAATGTTTCATTCACCTTTTTCTGTCTTTTAGATTCCATTACCGTTTCGTACATTAAGTTTCGTTCAACAGTATTCTTCTAGTTTCATTTCCCATTTTCTTTGTTTCATTCGGATTTCTGTTTTCTTTGAAATTCATTATCCGTTTTCTTTGAGTTTTATTTTCCGTTTTCTCTGTGTTTTATTTTCCGTTTTCTTTGAGTTTCATCCAGGTTTCCGTTTTCTTTGAACACAAGCCGGAGTCTCTGCTTTTCCTTTGAGAAAAATGGAGTTACTTCCTTAAGACTTGGTTAGCGATACATAGAAATTTAATTTCTCTCTATGTCTAAATATTAAGTGAATAAAAAAATAAATAAAAATGTAACAAGTTTCTTTATTATATGTGTGTGTTTTTGTAAATACTTATATTCATATATTTATACATAATTACTAATATATTGATTGCACTCTCAAAAGAAGAAAAAAAAATGATAATGATGGTAAAAAAAAACAAAAAAACAGAAATTGGAAAATTTTTAATATTTCTTCAGAGGGGGTTGTTGAGGGAGGGAGGGGGGGGGGCAAAAATAGAATTTCGTAATAATTCAAATCCTGTTTCATATCAATTCTATTAAATCGAGGGTCGATGAGTGCTATGAAAAAAAAGGAAACAAAAAAAAATATTTAGTTTACGAAATGCGTTTGTAAAAAAAAAAGAAAAAAAAAGAAAAAAAGAAAGAAAGACCAGTAATTGTGATTCTAGTAATTTTTGAAATAGCATTAACACCAGTAATGTTGTGTTAGCTGATGCCATTCTGGATAGGATTATTATATAATGAGGCTTTATATATTAAAAAAAGACCAATCGTAACTAAAAATAATATATTATCTCCTTTTTATATTATGTAGGATTTTCTGGGAGGAAATCTAAGTAAATTTTCTAAAATAAGGTTACCTGTAATTTCCGAAAGTTACGATTTTTTTTAATGGAAAAGGAAGTATTTAAAACAGTTTGTAAAATCTTAAGGTTTAATGGTACATTTTTTTCTGTAAGAAATGGTAGAACAAAAAAAATTGTTTGCCACGTTGCAGATGTAAATATATATCAACATTTGGATGTGTTGACCAACTTTTCAGATAAGAAATAGAACTTAAATTGCTTTTCGATTCAAAAAGGGAAAAAATAGGTTTTCTTTCTCTTTATTTCTCCTTATTCATTTTTCAACACAAAGTCATATTTGAGATAGATATGATTTTTTTTTTTTTCCTAAAGACGTTTTTTACCCAATGAAGTCATATTGAAATAAGAACATATTCCTTGACTTTATAATGACCTAAATAACATAGGACGAGTCACTGAACTACGACGTTTGAACACTTGAACATGACACAAAGCCAAAGAAATAAAAAATCAAAGAAATTAAAAATAAGTCATGATAAAATATAAAAGAATGAAAGAAAGAAAAAAGAGAAGAAAAAAAACACTTTTAATTAAATGACGTAGATAGATAGTGATAAATATAAAATGAAAATATAATCCAGCCTCAATTTCGTACCGTATTTCTACTGCCTTGTTCTGGTTTTGGTGAAATGAAGGATAGAAAATAAAATAATAGATAAATAAATAAATAAAAAAAAAGATCCATCACTGATCATTTATGCATTCGGATTAGCCACTTATATGCAGAGGAATTTCCTAAGTGTTGTTATCTTAACTTTATTAAGACGTTCCACTTATAAAGAGATCTGACTGGATTCATTATGTGTCTAGGCTAAGACTCCCCATTAGGCCTTATGCGCCTGTCCATCTGTTTGTAAAATGAGCCTTATGTCCCCAGGTCATCTAAGGCTCAAATTTGAATACTCGTGTCGGCCATTTTGGATTCTCTGCTTCATTTATTTTCTAACAATTAATTATTGAATCAGCTGATTAATTCGATTCCTCTGAGGGTATTGAGGCGGCGAATCACATGTTTATTATGCCATAAGGGATGGAATGGATTGAAGGTTTTGGTTTTGATTGGAATTATGACGAATGTGATTCATTGTATGATGATGTTTAACTAATAAAAAAGACGAAGGATAGATTAAAAAAAAAGAGAAAAAAAAATAACAGTTGAGAAATTTAAATCACTTTTTTTCAAATATAAGTAATTGTAATTTTAGACACTCCACACCAAAATATATATATATAATAATGATAATAATAATACCAATATATATATATAGCAAAAGACCCAAGTTTGATAGTTCTTAATATCAAACACTCTGGAAAAAATATATATAGTTGTGACCCTTCCGCTTAACTAGAAAAAAAAGAAAAAAAAAAGAAAAAAGCAGAATGGATGTTTTGATGTTGAATGTTCAGACTGAATGAAATGTCGTTGTAGTTCTTATTGCTACGTCTTAAATATTCCCTTGCAGCCCACATTATATATAAATATATATATATATACAGAGTGTAGTGATTTATGCCCAGGTGAATATAATGTTTAATAATAATGATAATGGTACGACGCGGATGACGGTGATGATGGTGATCTTGATGAATACTTATAAGATAAAGACTGATTGTCAGATTAGGTTTTTTATAATGAAGGAAGATTTCACTAAAAAATAAAAAATATGATATTCTTTCGCTTGCAAGATGCTGTGTTCTCTCTCTAGCTTCTAAATAGCTTTTGTGATGCATATCTAAACAAACAATAAATAATTATAAAACATGTTCAGCATAATTGTTTGTAGGCCCCTGTAATCTTGAAATATACGTGAACATATACAAAATAAAAACTCGTGTGTATACCTACGTGTGTGTATATATATATATATATATATATATATATATATATATATATATATATATATATATATATATATATATATATATATATATATATATATACATATATATATATATATATATATATATATATATATATACATATATATATATATATATATATATATATATATATATATATATATATATATATATATATATATATATATATATATATATATATACGTATTTGAGTATATCATATTATCAAGTTAGGAACCAGCAAAATATGTTATAACTTAAATGTAGTTTAGGATATACAGTATATGCTTGGTAAGCGTTCTAATATCTGTGCTTACCAATCATGAAAAAATGCTTACCTATAATGCTGAAGATGAATAATACTTAATGATTACGAAGGTTATGAATGGATAGATGAGTTCCCCCGTCGTTCTTCAGCCTTTGAGTCAGTCGTTATATCCAGGATTTGACGTATGTTGTATGTGTCTATCTGCAAGAATGTATAGAATTTAAATAATACGAATAATAATGCGTAGGAATTATCTTTAAGTAATTCCTATGCTAGCCATTCTAGCCCGTATAAAGAGAGGTGGAAATAGCCACGGTGAATATATATATAAAGATTTTAAAGAATAATAATTTCATGAGAAAAAAAATACATATATACTCCACACACACAAAAAGGAATGTCACTTTGCACACTCTGATCCTCATAGTTAATAATACAATTATTTCTCGCTGGAATGCAAATCCCAGTTATCTCCAAAAAATCTTTCGATTTTTTTTCTCGTCAGTTTTCCTTTCCTTTTTAAACTGTAACATCTCGTAATACTCTTTAAAAAAAAATGTAATTTCTCCAAAAGTAATTTCTCCAATATATATTTTCTTTTCACTTCAATCTCTTATCCCACTGGCATGTGTCAGAAATACTTTATAAATAGTTAAATAAACAGCATACGAATATTTACTGTCTTGTCTTATTATTTTTTTTCTTCTTATTCGAGTTCTTAATTCTCAATTTATTTATTCATTTATTTTTTAGCCTACGTAATGTTAATGTACTTGAAGAACTAAGCTTAGGAAAAGAATTATTTTGTATGCCTATGGTCCCTGTTATCTTGTATTATACACATCTAAATACCTGTGTCTTTTATTCCAACCTTTTTTTCAAGATTCTGAACTGGTGGTATTTTCGTTGCGTCGAGTGGAATAGAGGGAAAGAGAAGGAGAAGGAATTGAGAGGAAGAGAAAGAGAAGGAGAAGGAATAGAG